TAACCATAAATTTGTTTTCTATGTCTGTGAGTCTGTTTCTGTTTTGTAGATAAGTTCATTTGTGTCTTTTTTTTTTTTTTGGACTCCACATATGAGTGATATCATATGACATTTTTCTTTCTCTTTCTGGCTTACTTCACTTAGAATGACGATCTTTAGGTCCATCCCTGTTGCCGCAAATAGCATTATTTTATTCTCTTTTATGGCTGAGTAGTATTCCATTCTATAAATATAACTTGCTTATCCCACACTGTAAAGTTTGGATTGAGTTCATGGTGATAGGAAATCACTGAAGATGTTCTAGCATGTTTCTCCTTGGTGCCCCAGTGGTATCACTTCTTTGTTGCTTTGGTTTGGGTTCACCTTGGAGCATGAACAGTGGGGACTGAACAAACACAATGGAAAGAACTCAGACTCTCTGCATAGTGAGATCTCTAAATTGCTCCTTGCTCACTAAGCATCCTTTGTATTTGTTGAACATCTGCTGCAGAATATCTATTGGTGAGAATCATATGTTCCAGGAAATGTCCTGACAGTTGCTGTCCACAGTTGGCTGGTCCTCTCCACTGGGGCCATGCCCACCTCCCTTGATTCACCTCTTTTCCTGGCCTGCACCTCCTTGCTCCCCAATTCTAATGTGCACATAAGTTGTTTCTGTCTATCTAGGTTTCTACTTCTTTTACAAAGCTTCTCCTCCCTATGTTTCTTACGTGATCGGGCCAGGTTGCCTCATGACACCTTCTTGTGGTAGACACCATTAATTACCTACCCAATCTAGTCTTCTTCCTTCCTGGCTTAAGAAATCCCAGTTTTGTTCAGGGCGACCACGTAGCTAGCCCCAGACAATGGATCATGATACATCTAAGCCAACAGCATCCCTGTTTCCCACTTTCCTAGACTCCCTTGCAGCTAGGGGTACCCATGTGATTCAGTTTTTGCCAATAAGACCTGAGAGGAAGTCTGCTCTAGGGCTTCTGGGAAAGCTTTTGACTTTTTGACAAAAGGGAACAATTCCAGCTTTCTCCCCCTGACAAGTCCTTCCCACTGCTCTCAGCTTAAACACAGTCATAATGGCGGGAGCTCTCTGTAGCTGGAAGGATGTCAGATGAGGATTGTCAGTAGCCATCATGTGGAGAAAGCCTGCCTTCTGAGGAGAGAGTACCATCAAACACAGAAAAGCACCAGAACAGGGAGAGAGAGGAAGAGAGGAAAGTTGAAGTCTCGTTTAAATGTCTAGATTCACACCTGAAACCAGCACCACCCCTGGAATTCCAAGTTACATGAACAATACATGCCTTTCTTTTTTCTTTATGCTTATTCAGATGGTTCTGTTATTCGGAACCTAGGCCCAGGTGTCCTATCTTGACGGTGAATATTCAGCAGGGCTCCCAGCCTTCCTCTGTCTGTAACACTCGTGACCTTGACAGGCTGTTAGGATGTGTGTAAGGGCATGTAAGGACATGTAAGTCACATGTCATCCACCTGCCCATCCTCAACCTCAGCACCCCCTCCCTAACACACACACACACACACACACAGTTATCTCCATTTCTACCCTCTGGTCAAAAACTGGCCCAAGGGAGTGAGGAATGAGGAAACTCAGGGTGTCACCCCATACCAAGGCCACCTCAACTCCACAGCATCCTCAGAATGCCCTTGCGACGCCCTTGTTTGAGAAACAGTGGAGTTAAGAAATGGGAGTCAAAGAAAAGTGGGCTGGGTGGACAGGAGTGAGGTGCATAGAGTCTGTCTGATTTGTGAGGGGCCTTTGAGATCATTCAGCTGCTTTCTCACTCATTGTTCATTCGTGAAACACATTCTTTTGCTTTTCTTCTTCCTACTATTATTAACTGAGATGTATTTGACATATAGCATTCATTTCAGGTGTATATAATGATTTGATGTTCGTACATATTGTGGAATGATCACCACAATAAGTCTGATTCACATCCATCATCACCCATAGTCACAAATCTTTTTTTTTCTTTTGATGAGAACTTCAAGATTTATTTTATTTACTTATTTTTGGTGGAGAGGGGGAGGTAATTAGGTTTATTTATTTGTTTTTTAATGGAGATTCTGAGGATTGAACCCAAGACCTCATGCATGCTAAGCAGGCACTCTACTGCTGAGCTATACCCTCCCCTGTGATGAGAACTTTTAAGATCTATTCTCTTAGAAACTTTCAAATACACAATAGTACTATTAATTATAGTCAACATGCTGCACAGTCCCTCCCATGACTTATTTATTGTGTGACTAGAAGTTTGTACCTTTTGACCTCCTTCATCCATTTCTCGCCCCCCTCCTCCACCGCCTCTGACACCACCAAGCTGTTCTGCACGCCACACATTCTTCAGTCGAGCACCTACTTGGTGCCAGGCTCTAAACGTTCCCTGCCTTCTCTCCATCAGTGAGGAAATGTGAAGTACCGCCAATGAAACATATAAAAGAAAGAAATGGACTGGGGAAGCCTCCATTGTCTCTCCTTCCCAAAGAGGAAATTGACCTTAAAATAAAACAGATGAAATCCAGATTGGCCATGAGAGAGCCTTTCTATTGAGTGGGATTTGGGATGTTAAGATGAGATGTCACACTGGAAGTTAGTAGAATCTCCTTTCCTGGAAACCTTCAGGAATGAAGATCTAAGCCACTGACTCATCTTTAATAGGCATCTGCATGGGGTAATGCAATGGCTTCTTCTTTTCAAATTGAAGTTTAGTTGATTTACAATGTTGCGTTAGTTTCTGGTATACAGCATAGTGATTCCCCTATACATACACTTTTTCATACGCTTTTTCATTATAGATTGTTACAAGATATTGAATGTAGTTCCCTGTGCTAGCCAATAGGACCTTGTTGTTTATCTATTTTATGTATAGTAGTTTGTATCTGCTAATCCCAAACTTCTAATTTATCCCACCCCCCTGCCTTTCCTCTTTGGTAACTACCAGTTTGTTTTCTATGTCTGTGGATCTAAACAACATTAGATGGTGAAATGCCACAAAGCAGGTGGCAATGCCTTAACCGTATGTGTGCTGTCAAGGGTTCTCCCATCCTTGTCCAGGGGAGTACGTAACCTATCCTTTCACCCAGTGCTGCAAGGGCTTCTGAGTGAAGACACTGAGGTTCGAATCCTGATTCCATTCTTGAAATGGGTAGGTTTTGACAAATCGATAAACCTCCCCGAGTCTCAAGTTTCCTTTGAGTTACTGGGAGTGTTGTCTAAAGATACTATTATCTACCGTTCGGGGGGCTTACTACATTTGGGTTCTGATCTAAGCACTATATGTGTCTTAACTCATTTAATCTTCACATCAAATGAAGAAGCTGAGACTTGGGAAGGTCAAATTCCCTGCTGGTCAGTTGTAGAGCCTGGCTTTGAACTCAGGGAGCCTGGCTCTGGAGCTTGTATGTGTAACCAGTTCCCTGAGGGCTTGCTCTTATTGGTGAAATGGAGACACACTCTTTTCAACCACTGGGGAGGACACGGCAGTGGTAAGCTGCTCAGGCTCTGGAGTTTCACTTCTCTGGTTCAAATCCAAGGCTTATTACTCATTAGCTGAGTTGTTATGAGCAAGTCACTTAATTTCTCTGTCCCTGTCTTGATTTCCTCTGCTGTAAGATGGAGCTGATAATAACACTCTTGGGCTTTTTGTGAAAACTGAGGTGGTGAACACAATAAACTTTGAGTCATACCTGGGACATGGTAAATACTCAATAAATGCTACCTACTCTTATCTTTCAGGTCTCTCTGCTTCCTCCCCCTCTCCCAGTCTGAACTATGTTCCTCCTCAGAGCACCCTGTTGCTGTCCTATCCAGCACTTAGACGATTTGCAATCATGTATAAGAGTAACCACCTCACAGGGTTCTTACGATGATGAAATGAGACAGTGTGAGTAAAGCACAGAGCTTCTTGGCACGTGTTTGACTCTTGGCAAGTGCAAGTGAATATATTATCGTTATTATTTACACTGGATCTCTTCCTTGGTTAAAATCACTGATGTTTGGATGTATTGACAATGTCATCAGATCTAAGGCACCCATCAATTGTAAACCACACCATTACTGACGCATTTTTTTTTATTGAGGTATAGTCAGTTTACAATGTTGTGTCAATTTCTGGTGTACAGCACAATCCTTCAGTCATACATGAATACGCATATATTCATTTTTATATTCTTTTTCACCATGAGCTACTACAAGATATTGAATACTGTGCTGTACAGTATGAACTTGTTTATCTGTTTTATATACACCTGTCAGTATCTGCAAATCTCCAACTCTCAGTTTATTCCTTCTCACCCCTGCCCCCCATGGCAACCACAAGTCTGTATTCTATGTCTGTGAGTCTGTTTCTGTTTTATATATAAGTTCATTTGTCTTTTTTTAAATACATTCCACATATGAGTGATGTCATATGGTATTTTTCTTTCCCTTTCTGGCTTACTTCACTTAGAATGACAATCTCCAGGGCCAACCATGTTGCTGCAAATGGCATTCTTTTATCATTTTTATGGCTGAGTAGTATTCCATTGTATAAACATACCACAAATTCTTTATCCAGTCATCTGTTGATGGACATTTAGGTTGTTTCCATGTCTTGGCTATTGTAAATAGTGCTGCTCTGAACATTGGGGTATAGGTGTCTTTTTGCATTAGTGTTCCCTCTGGATATATGCCCAGGAGTGGGATTGCTAGGTCATTTGATAAGTCTATTTTTAAGTCTTTTGAGGAATCTCCATACTGTTTTCCACAATGGCTGTGCCAAACTGCATTCCCACTAATAGTGTAGGAGGGTTCCCTTTTCTCCACACCCTCTCCAGCATTTATTTACTGATGCATTTTTTAAAAACCATGACACAAAGCTTTCCTATCATATAGAATTTTCATTTTATGCATATGGAAACAACTCTTTGAATTTAGACATAGATTTTTATCATATGTTAAGCTGCTCTGTTTCTTTGCCTTTTTAGTCCACAATAACTTTTCATTTCAGTGCCAAACCAGCATGGAATCTTTTCTGAAGACATTGTAAGTGGCGATTAAACCAACGCCCGTGGTGCTAACGGTGTCCAAAGCTCAAGGGACACAAGGACAAGATGGGGAGCTATGACCAAGTTTGTGCACATGCCATCAGTGGCAACTACATCACGACTATCTCCTGGCCACAAACTATGTGAGATGCCATCGATGACAACACATGACCTTATTTCAGAGATGTAAAAATATTTTTTAAAAGCTATCATAAGTTTGATGGAATACAATATTAAAATTTAAATGTCTCTCCTATCAGTTGTTTGATTCCTTATTTGGTTTTCCAAAAGCCACCATGGTTTAAACCAAACCTATTAGGTTTTCCTTCTAAGTAATGGCTTCATCTTCAACATAGAGCTTTAGATTGGTTAAAGCAAACCTGGCTGCCGTGAAAGATAAATCCTAAAAACACTCTAAAGGTTTATTTCTTATGCATGTAAAGTCCAAATCAGACATTCCTCATTGACGGCAAGGGCTTCACTCCACATGGTCATTCAGGGATCCGGATACTTCGAGGTTTTGTTGGTTTCAACCGGGCATTTCAAGGGTTGCCATGGTCCCATGACATAGAAGGTTTTCTGGGCTAAACCTGGGGGTGGCTTGCACAGCACACTTTTTCTCACATTCCACCGCCAGATCTTGGTCACAGGGCTGCGCCTAACCACAAGGGAGCCTGGGAATTGTCTTCTGGCTGTGTCTCCACGAAGAAGAGGAACTGAGTTTGGTAACTGGGCACCAATTTCTGCTCCAAGCTTTATAGAGAATCCAAGCACTGTGATGGGTGGGCATGCTGGGTAAGTTAATTCACTGCACCCTCACAGCAGCCCCACAAGTGGTTATTATCTTCATTTTGCAAGTAAAGAAACTGAGGCTCAAGGAGATGAAATGACTTGCCCAAGACCGCATTGCTCCACTGTCAGGGAGCCAGAGTTGAGGCCTTTCTACCTATGTTCTTCCATTACACCCACCTGCCTCTTTGAACTAGCCAAGAAAGGCGAGGGGAGAGAGGGTCACCAGTCCTTCTCATATGGGGCTGACTCACACATAGAGTATAGTTTAGTTTTCTCCAGGGCTAGAGATTTCACTCATACTCAGGTCACCTTCTACTAGTGGATGGGAGGGGACCAGGCCACAGGATTTGCTACTCGCCAGTAGCCTGGGTTTCTTTTGGCTGGGTCTGGCTCTAATGTGTCCTCTTCTGGGCACATGGCTTTGGGGAGCAATCATTCTGACAATGGATATCTGGGTATAGATACAGATGTTGATGTAGATGAGATGTAGATACAGATATTAAAGAGAGACTTCAGAGAGGAGGATATAGCTCAGTGGTAGAGCACATGCTTAGCATGCATGAAGTCCTGGGTTCAATCCCCAGTACCTCCATTAGAGAAAAAAAAGTAAAGAAATAAAAATAAAACCTCATTACCTCCCCCCACAAGATGATGTAAAATAAATAAATTTTTAAAAAGAGAGACAATCAAACACAATGAGTAGATGCTGACTGGATCCTACTTTGAAAAACCAGCAATAAAAAAAAAAGTTTTAGGAACAATTTATATATTTGAGCATGGGCAGAGTATTTGGTTATATTAAGGAATTATTATGATTTGTGTTGGGTGTGATAACAGTGTGGCTAAGTAGACAACTGTCTTTAGTTTTTAGAGATGTGTATTGGAGTATTATGGGGTGAAATGTCATCCTGTTTGTGCTTTAAGACACATCGACAACAAAAACAGCAACAGAAAAATAGATGAAGCAAACTTGGCAGAATATTAAGAACAGTTGAATGTAGGTAAGAAGTATGAGGATGTTCATTATATTATTTTTTTCCCCATGACATTTACTGTTTGAAGTAAGACAATGGGGATATCTCGATGAGGTTCAATAATGAATAGTGCTTATTACCGTCGGGTATTTCTCTTGCCTTGTTTGTTTATTGACTGATCAGTCAATTTCCCCCCCACCCCCACCCCCATCCCCATGACTGTCAGTCTGTGGAAACAGGGACCTTGGCACCTGGATCCTAGCATAGCCCCTAACACAGTACCCTAGACACGGTTGGATTTACTTTTTTTTCCCTGCTAAACTCAATTCTCACTGATGTTCCTGGCTCTCCTTCATTCCTGGCCTTTGTTTTGGTTCTCCCTGGTTCTGGCTGCATCTCTTGCTCTCCAGGTACTCCCATCCCTAGCCCTCCCCAGCCTTGTCTTGGTCGATCCCTGGTCACTGGAAGCAAAAGACTGCCATTGGCCCTCATGTCACCAGAGTCTCAGCACGAGCCTGCAGCCGTCTCCCACCCACCCCTGGATCTGCTGCCCTCACACTGTCGGCTCCTGCAGGGCAGGGACTTGGCTTGACACTGCTCGGTCCTTGCTGAAGCCGAACCACACACACCCAGTGCTCTGAAATCATTTGCTGATTGATTACTTGTATGCATCCCCCCTGGGCCTAACTTCACTCTTTTTTTGATGAGAGATATTTTCCCTTGTTACTTTCTTTTCTCCTATTATTTTTAATAATACAAGTAACACACGGTCATGGCAGAAATTTTAGAAGACAGAAATAAATTGAAAGAGAAAGGATTAAAATGATCTGAAATCTTATCTCCCATTGTTACAATTTTCATGCATTATTAACTTTTCTTTGTGCATACATTAAAGTGTTTTTCTCTTAGGGAAACTTGCGCACTGTCGGTGGGAATGCAATTGGTGCAACCACTGTGGAAAGCAGTATGGAGGTTCTTTAAAAAACTAAAAATTGAACTCCATATAACCCAGCAATTCTACTCCTGAGTATATATCTGGAGAAAAAACAAAAACACTCATTTGAAATGGGTTGGGGTATACACAATGGTAAAGTATGTGCTTAGCATTCATGAGGTCCTGGGTTCAATCCATAGTCCCTCCAGTAACATTTTTTTAAATTAGAAAACCCCCACTGATTTGAAAACATACAAGCACCCCAATGTCTATAGCAGCACGATTTACAATGGCCAAGACAGAAGCAACCTAAATGTCCATTGACATGAATGGATAAAGATGTGGTGTGTGTGTATATATATATATACACACATACATGTATATGTATACATAATGGAATATTACTCAGCCATAAAAAAGAATGAAATATTGCCATTTGCAGTGACATGAATGGACCTAGACAATATCACACTTGGTGAAACAAGTCAGAGAAAGACAAATATCATATGATATCACTTGCATGTACAATCTAAAAATTTACACCAATGAACTTATTTACAAAACAGAAACAGACTCATAGACATAGAAAATAAAAGTTATGGTTACCAAAGGGGAAAGGGAGAGAATGGGGATAAATTAGGAGTATGGGATTAATATATACACACTACTATGTATAAAATAGATGAGCAACAAGGATTTACTTCATAGCACAGGGAAATAGATTCAATATCTTGTGATAACCTATAATGGAAAACAATCTGAAAAAAATATATAACTGAATCACGTTGCTATACACCTGAGACTAACACAACATTGTAAGGCAACTATACTTATATAAAAAAAGAAAAGCCCCCCAAAAAAGTTTTTCTCTTCATAAAATAGCATTATTTTTATCCTGCTTTCTTTCCCAACAAAATATTGAGAATATTCTTCCAAATCAATAGGTATACTTCAATGCCATTATTTTTAGTATCCATGAAGTGTTCTCTTACAAGACTTACCATACTTACCTAGTGCCTATGGCGGGCATTTCAGGTGGTTCTAATTTACTCCTGTACTGAACATACTTGCTTACATCTCTTTTTATGCACATGTCAATCATCCAGTGATTCATTAAATAGGTTTTTACCGAGTCCCTTCTATGTGTCAGGCTCTTTTCTAGGCAGTGGAAAAACTACCACAGTGGGTTTTCTGGGGGTAAATATACCTTTATTATTATTGTTATTATCATTAAAGACTTTTAATATATATTGCCCACCTGCTTCCAGAGAGACTGGACTGGTTTCCATTCCCTTCTACAATGTGTGTGTCCCACGCTCCATCCCGCCGTGGTCCTTCAGGGCCAGGGAGGCGTCCAGCAGTGTGCCTGGCACCCGTTCCCTGCTCTCCTCCTGCTGCGGGTTCTTTTCTTGGCCATACCCACTGCCCTTTCAGTATCAGCTCTGGCCTTTTGTCCCCGCCGTCTCTGGCTCCATGATCCTAACTTCCTGTCTGCCTCTGAACACGCCTTTAATTTCGAGGTTCCCTGCAGAGATTTCCTCCACCTGCCATGGCCCCATGCAGTGCTCCCCACGGAGTCAGCCACCACTTTTAGGGCCCCCAATGGAGGGCTCAGACAAGAGGACAAGAAGCAGGCAGGAAGCAGGGGCTCCACAGCTGAAGGCAGGTTTTATCTTCCCTTTGCTTCTCTGTCTAATTGCATCAGTACCCTCAGGAACCAACCAGGGGGCCTCCCCTGATCTGTGTGCAGGAATAGCTGGTATTGAATCTCAGCCCGTGGCCTAAATCCTTCCAGGGTAGCAGGGAAGTCCCTTGGCTTCCAGGGATTAGTGCAGCGTGAGCAGCCATGTATTTGGACGTGGCCTTGGGAACAGAGGGATTAGTGGTCCTATGGGAAGGCATTCTGTTCTGAGAGTCCCTGGGTCTGAGCACTGGCTCTGTGTGTCCTGTGTGACCATAGCAGACGACCTTTGGGGAATCTGCTCAGTTCACTGCTACCCCTGTCTGTGCAGCTGCCCCGCAGTGGGAAGGGTCTTTGGTAGCGATTGTTAGATAATGCGACCCTGTCCACTCAGCTACATCAATTAGACCAGAGGTGGGCATGGGATCTGAGCCAGCTAATCAGGTTCCTTCTGGGAAGTGGGATTGGACATGGTCTCGGAGTCACTATAAGGACATAAACAGAAGTGAGCAAAACTGGAAAGAAGTACCCAGAGATGCAGCGCAGGGCGGCCTGCAGGAGACGGGCAAGAGGCAGATGTGCAGGAGTCCTGGCCCAGGCTCTTTGTGGGTGGTTTTGCAGGTCTTGCTGCCAGGCCGGGGAGGCCCTGGGTAATACCCAGGAATCCTGCCTTGGGAGTCTGTGAGCACCCTGGAGTTCTCCTCATAAAACCTCCTTTTCGCTTCAGCTACCTCTGCAATCTGCAAACAAGCAAACACAAATCTTACTTGAGGTGTGAACAAGGTGAAATATCAGTCTTTCTGAGCCTCCATCTAATCTGTATGATGGAAAGAGTAACGGAGCCCTCTTCTCAGGCGTGTCGAGAGGGC